GGATTCTTACTATTGGGAATGAATAAAACTACTATAAAGGCTCCCCAAAAGCCCCATCTATCACCCTCATTTCAGGCTGAAGTAAACGCTAAGGCCAAGCTTGCTCTAGGCTTGTGTTACTGAGGCATAACCCCATAATGAATTCACAAAACTGATAATTCTCTGCAGGCGAAATTATTTTGAATAATAACTAGAGATTTTTTAAAAACATATCCTGTCGAGAGTACTCCAAAGGCTTTTAACTTGGCATTATTGGATCAAGCAGCGCCCGAGCCTAAGTATAGACTTAGTCCAAATTTCAAATTTCACCGGTTTTTCGTTGCAAGGATTAACTTGCCAACGCGCCCATCGCCGGAGGGCCTTCAGCCAGGGAATGTTGAATGTGCAGTGGATTTTTCAGTTGAAAATTCCGTGGAATATTCGGTTTGAAAATTGTGTTGAATTTTCAGTTGAATATTATGTGGAAAATTGTGATGAAAAATTGGTGTGGAATTTTGGTCCGGCCGGGACTTGAACCTGGGAGCTTGGGGTTGTGAATCTCATGCTGCTACCAAGTGCGCCACACAGCCGGGTTGACTTAGTCCATTTGGTCTCAGTCAATACGCTTACTCAAGCTTGAGGTCAGCCTCTACTGAATCTAAGTATAAGCTTAGTCTCCGTAGGCTCAGTGCGCTGAGGCTTATCCAAGCCTGAGTTCAGCTTGGTATGGGTCATCCTTAGCAAGCCAATACTGATTCGAGCCTTGGGCTAAACAGCCTGAAAAAAGTCATGGTATTCTGAGGGTATTCCAAGGGGTCTTAACTTAGTCTAAATGGATCCAGCCTCGACCAAGCCTGAGTATAAGGTCAGTTTGTTGAGACTCAATGGGTTTGGGCTCACCTAAGTCTGCAGTGAGCCTGATATGTCCCAGCCTCAACAAGCAAAGGCTGGTTCAGGCCTGTATCGATACTCATATTGCCGAGCCTCAGGGAAACAAGATTCCCCCATGCTTGGCCCCATCGTCGAGCCTTTGAATTCTTACCCGGGTATAAATGTACTTTTTTCAGATGGCCACGTGAAAACACTGCACTTTGTCGGTTCTAGTTTCCGAAAAAATCACGGAATTAGAAACTTAACATAGAGGATTGTTATTTTTTCATAAGGAAAACTTCGACGTCAATGTGAATCTAACGTCTAAAATCTGAATGCTTTAAATATTTGGCGTTATTTATGATCAGTCTATTCTTGTCATTCTCCTGCTTGTTTCTTACGGTTGATCGTCATGATGATTGGATGCGTGCGGTTGCGCTGCTTGCCCCTCCCAGTCAATCCTGTGCTGGAGTGACTTTTGAGAGTTCCCTGTCGGCCTCACTGGTTTGATCCTTGAGAGGATGACATCCTTACGACATTTGACCCTCACAACGTATTGCTTTAGGCAGCAGTGACATTTTGGTTAGGTAGATGTTCGACTATTTACTTGCTTTTTTTACCACCTGCAAGTAAATTAACACAATTTTACTATTGGGAAGTCTAGAACTCGAATACTCTATCTATCGGAAGGGACAGGAACCCATGTAAGTAGACTGCGAGTCCTATCTTTCCCAAGGAGCTACTGTCGAGTGGCGAAAATTTGAATCCGTGCATGTAGGGTCCGCGACCTACGTCCCACCCTCATCTGAGTTCCCAATATGTATACCATAGAAACCTTGATTTCCAGAGAACGGCTCACCCATATGCTCAGGAATTATTTTTTTATCACAATATATACAATGTGGGATTTTGCGTACATGGAGCGCGCATAAGATTTCACTTTACACGCAAGTGATGAAAACGGAATTTTTGTGACACCTGCCTTAAAAGTACACTTTTCGAAACGGTTTAGTGTGCGCAAAGCGGTTGTTTTTCACACGGCATGCGTAATGTTCACAAATGTGTGTTCAGTGAATTTCGAGTGCGTAAAGCAAACGTCTCGAACTTTATGCACTCGTGCAGAAAAAGAACCACATTACCCCCACTACCGTTCTGAACAGTGAACTCGGTAGGTACCACAAAAAATAGGATGTGTTACACGTGCGTATAAAAAAGTGGAATTTTACGCACTAGTATCACAATATGCTATTACTCCCTTGTATCGAAATGTACTATTTTCGTGATCTAGTGCCTGGTAAGTTCACTTTTTGGGATGGTTTAGTGTGCTTAACGCATTCATTTTCTGCCTGGCGAACGTAAAATTCAGCAGTCAAACGTAAAGTAAATTCTCGTGCATATAGCTTCGCTTCGGTTGTACGAAATTCCTTTTCGCACGAGCTTGAACTCTACGCACTCCGTGCACAAAAAAACCCTTTACCCTCTACCACGCCGAACAGTGAACTCGGCAGTTATCACAAAATAGGCAGTTATCACTTTTCCACACGCACGTATAACACATTCTATTTTTTGCGGTACCTGCCGAGTTCACTATTCGGAACAGTAGTGGGGGTAATGTGATTATTTTTGTACGTAAGTGTTTATACTACGCACGATCTTGAACTTTACGCTCGTTCAGAGACAGACAGTCAAGCGGATTTTGCTGAAGAAATTGTATTCCACGCTTTGTCCGACGGCGTAAAAAGTGGCTGGTGCTTGGACAGTGGGTGCACGTCCCATATGATCGCGTCTAAGGATGTTTTTGATACTTATTCTGTGATAAACAAGTCTTTACATCGGGCCAACAACGCCACGAGTATGAATGGAGTGGGAGAAGTCAGAATAGTCGTAAGTAACAGAAATAACGACCAGAGCATCAAATTAGATGAAGTCTATCACGTCAAGGATCTACGGACTAATTTACTATCGGTTTCGAAAATTACCGACAGAGATTGTAAAGTCATTTTTCTGAGGCAGTGCTCAGAGATAAAAGAGGAAGGTCACTTGTCGTAGCGGAGAGAAGAGGAAATTTGTATTTCGTCATGGAGGAAGCAGAGATTGTTGGTGCGGCCGATGTGACTGGAGCGTGGAAACCTGAGGCATCGTTGGAATTATGGCATTATCGACTTGGACATCTGAACGTGGGAGACATGAAGAAGATGTCGAGAGAAAATATCGTTCATGGATTGAACTTTAACCTTGGAGAAGAGATGAAGAGTTGCGAAGTCTGCGCTCGTGAAAAATTAACACGTCTACCGTTTGCGCCGACTGAAGATTTTCGCACGAGAGTTGTTTTGGAGATGGTGCATATGGACGTTTGCGGCCCAATGAGATGTACGTCTATTTCCGGCGCTCGATATTTAGTGGTCTACGTGGATGACAAGTCCAGATGGGTCACCGTGGATTTTTTGAAGGAGAGATCAGAGATGTTTGAGAGCTTCAAGAAATACAAGGCGAGAGTGGAGACTGAGACTGGCCAGAAGATCAAATTTCTGCAGTCGGACAATGGGAGAGAGCTGTGCAATCGTGTTTTCGACGAGTTTCTGGAGGAACATGTGATTCATCGCCGTTTGACGTCGCCGCGCACACCAGAGCAGAATAGCATTGCCGAGCGGATGAATCGTACGCTCGTCAAGATGGCGCGTTGTCTATTGCGCCAGGGGAGGATGTCGCCGATGTTTTGGGCCGAAGCTGTTAATACTGCAGCTTACATCAGGAATCGCTACGTGAGCAGATCGCTGAAGGTTGCGACTCCTCACAGTACCTGGAAGAAGAAGCCGACGCTCGTGCATTTTAAGATTTTTGGCTGCAGGGAGTTCGTGCTGGACAAGTCACAGAAAGGAAAATTCGATTCTCGTGCCGAAGAGTGTGTTTTCGTCGGTTATTCGACGGGGTCGAAAGCGTATCGTCTGTGGAATCCAGAGAGTCGGAGGTTGATCGTCAGTCGTGATGTCAAATTCATGGATTCGTTTTATTTCTCAGACGACTTCGAGGATTTTTGTGGCGAGAAGGAAGATGACGTCGACAGTTTACCAGGGGATACATCGACGGTGGAGGTCACGACGGATTTGAGGCCGAGGAGGCCCAGTGAGAAGAACTGTGAATTTTCGACGCAGAGTTCCGAGTAGCCCGCCTCGTCATAAACCAGGCAGGCCGAGGCTTCATCATACTGGTTCCGTGGGAAGACCCAGGAAAATCGATTCACATTACGATGACGCTGAAGAAGGAATTGAAGATCTTGAGGTTCCATGTGATATCATGAATGACGTTTTCGACGATGGTTCAGCAGCACCGTTGACGGAAGCTGATGTTGGTGAATTCGTCCATTATACTGTTTTATCGGAACCTAAGACCTGGGAAGAAGCCTTCAGAAACTACTGCAGTCGGTTGGCCTGCAGTGCGACAGGATTACACTTTGGAATGATTCACAGTGTCCAGAGTCGAATCAAGAGCTCCACGACACACTCCAGATCCAAGCATATGGACGTTCGGCATAACAGACCAGATGGCTGCCGACGTGCTCACCAAAGGATTGACACATGCGTGTCATCTAAACTGTCAATCTTTATTGGGAATTGAAATTTTATAATTGAGTTGTATGTTGCAGAAGATCGTAATTGACCTGTCTGCTTTGAAGGGAAGGTATTGAGAAGAGGTATCAAAGGCAGCCTGGATACCGGCCGAGATCTTTTTATCGACGCCTGATATATCGTAATCCCGTCATCATGCGCGTCAATCTATCTGGTCGATTTTAATGGCAGACGTATAAATACGTGTAAATTTGTTGCTTAAATGTATCCTATTTTATTGTTGCAGTCTTTAATATATTTATTGTTAAATGAAGTGATTGTTTTTACTCGAATTGTTCCCCGAACTTACAACATAAGACACTGCACTCGATAAAAAAAAGGGAAAGATTAAGTTATACACCTAATAATGAGTTTACTTTTGTAATACCTCTACTACATGAGCCATTTCAGAAAATGTACTCTGCGCTTTTATTCTTATTTTTATGCGAAATATAAAAAACAACATTCAAAATATTTTCAGAATTATTTCTTTTATTTTTTAATCATTAATACTTAGTCTAATTTTCAACTGCTCAATTCATAAACAAAAGGTAGGAATCAGTAAGCTAAAACATCAGTACTAGTTCAAATTACAATGTGGTGAACATCAAAAGACATTCCTTTTCAATAATGAGAACTGGAAAATACAGCATATATTGAAGACTAATATGACGGAGCGAATGGTTTTTTTCCATTTCTAACTAGTTAATCTTCCATTACTCGCCTCATACATGGGGGTGAGAATCTTTCCGTTTTGCATGGTGATAGTTTCTACTGCCGTGACATCTTCAATTCGTTCTCCATTAATTACACGTGTTACGTTTGGATTATCGAGTATTGAAACGTGATCTCCTTCAAGAATGTGGCATTTTACTTTCCCCCTTGTTATCTAAAATATGTAAAACAGAGTTATAGAATGGTGGTTGGTTTGCAACGAAGTGGAAAACTATATTTAACGTAAGTCTACCCTTGTAGGAAGTAGAATGATATTTGGTTCGGGCAAAGAAGAAAAGTTTAGAGTGCAGAAATCAGTTGATTGAGACTATTTTTTATGCACATTTGTACTGAACAGCAAGCCCTCCGAAATATGTGGAAATCCGTATGGGAAGGGGCCCACTTCCGCGGTAGAGGATTTATACCCCGTTAATCTTGGCCAAATTCCGTCTATTTTAATCTGATAGTGAGGTGAAATGATCCTGATAGTGTGAAAAAGAGGATGTTATAGAAGATCGGAAAAATAATTCAAAATTGGTTTACATGAGAGTAGTGAAACCAAAAAATAGAATATCTCGGGAATTAGGTTTCGAAAAACTAGGAACTTCTTATTGCCGTACTTCCTACGTTGGAAGATTTATTTCTTTTAGGTGCAGTTATTCTACTGCCAAATTATGATACGGCTTTTCTTGAATCATTTGCGCCGAGAATCCCTAAAGCATTTATACGATTTGTTAAACTGAATTTACCTTACTAATATCATAATCTGCAGGTAAATTCTTCACGCTTTGAACAGACGGTTTCAGGAGAGTGATTGTAGATCTGAGAAGCGGAAAGCTAGAAATATCATAATTATTGAATGCAAGCGTCCGGTTATATATACAAGTCCAAATATTTCTTTGTTGCTCGGATGAAATTTTTAATGCCTTAGCGGGCACGAATTTTGTGAAGGCATCCAACTTTTCTTCCCAAGAGTTGCTCCGTTTGAGTTGCACAAATAATTGTCGAGAAAGTTTTGGCGCAATACGGTTAGCTATACTCAGCAGAAGTTTCGTCTGGAGTTCATTGTCGTTGTTTGATACAAACTGTTGATCTCTAAGGACTTTCGAAAGTAGCGGTGCCCCATCAATGAGAATTACTTTGCCTGTGAACGACTCAGCCTCTAATTTTCTCACTAATTCGATAGTAATAAGTGCTCCATACGAGTATCCAACCATCACAAAATCTCTTCGGCTGTCATTTTTCTTGAGGATGTACTGTACATATACCAATGAGTCATGATTTTTAAAGTATAGTCTCTATTCACAAATCTTTGACCCTTAAGTGGTCGCAACTCACCGAACATAGTTGGGCGCATTGAGATTTCAAAAGTTTTTAATAACTTATTGGTGTAAGTCTGGGTCAAAAAATATTGTTAATAGGGGAGAGTAGGGAACAACGGGCCGGCAGGGCAAAACGAACCACTGACAGAAAATTGGTGATTTATTTATTTTTTTCTTTCCTTCAAAACAGGAATTGAATGGGTTGAATTAAAAGTGAGTTTCTTGGATTGTAACCATCACAAGGGTTTTGTAGACAAGTATCGTTGAATCGCAATTTGATTAGATTTGCTAATCACCTCAAACCACAAATGACTTTAAAAAACCAATATTTCCTAGGAATCTGTGTCGAAAGGCAAAACGGATATTGTTATATTTATTTCTTGTCTAAACCAGCAGCGCGACAGAAGCCATTTGACGGATTACATATGACTGCTACTCTCCGCGATTTTTTTCCTCTCCTATTTTCCTTTCTACCAATTTCATTAGTAGTAGGATTCCGAATGGTTCCCAATGCTTGTTTTCAAAAAAATAAAATCATATATTCATATTATACGGCTTTCTCACACATTTTGAAGAAAAAACTGAAATCGGATTAATAGTTTTTGAGATATTGAGCAAAAGATTTTCAATACAAAGTTGAATATCTCCGAAACTACCGGTCCAATTTCATTCATCCAGAATCCCAAACTTTTTACTCATAAGTCCTAAAATCATATCAAGTTCCAAGTTTCTATCTCGATTATTTTTCAAGTTATTGTGCCATTTCAGCGAAAAAATGAAAAAACGAGAATAAAATATTTACTCAAGGTGTAATGGTCTTTTTGTAATTCTATTAAATAGGTGTTATCATGACTAGTATTTTGAGAAAAAAATCGAATCGGTCGAATGGTTCAGGAGATATGACTAAAAATCGATTTTCGAAGAATCGCTATATCTCAGGAATCGCTGAACTGATCGAGCTGCAATTTAGCACAAATTTGAATCTCAGTAGTACCAATTAGCAGCTAGAATTTCAGCATCTTTTTCTCAATAAACACACATACCTACACACATACAGACATTTTTTACAAACATCATTTCTTCACGTTTCATGACATTTCTAGGGATTTTTACCCAAAATTAAGAAATCGGAAAAAGGCACGAATACGAAGCAAAAACAAAAATTTTGAATTTCCTGTCAATGATCGGTTTTGCCCGCCTGGTTCGTTTTTGCCCTAGCATCTCCTATGTCCGATATATTTGAACGTAGAAATACAAATTTTTATGAATTTTTACTCACCAAGTTTTTGTGTGAAAAAATAAAAATCGAAAAACAGCTGGAATTCCTTCATTGTGCGACCACTGAAGGGTTAAAGAAAGAACAAATACTCACTGGTAACAATTCATCCGCCATATCCGGAATAGAAAGATGCTTCGTACGCAAATTATTCAATTGTAAACAAGTAGCAAAAGCCGTAATATTCTTTGCAAGATTCATAAATACAGCACCACAACCCTCAAAACCTGGAATCAAGAACACCTCTGGTCTTCCACTCTCTCGTTTTGTGTACAACTCCAAGCAAGTCTCCTTCATTGCTTCTTCCTTTCCAAGCAGCCTAATCATAAACTTCATCCCTACAAATGCCTCTTCCTCCATCACTTCCGCAGCCGTTTTTTCCTGCTCAGTATTTTTTGAGTCCCGCTCAATAAGCTTTGCGAAGGTCAAATCACGAATATTTTGTGCGGTTAGAAATATCTCGAACTCACGTTCCAATGTTTGCTTAATTTCCATAGCCATCATAGAGTCCATCCCAAGCTCAGCTAGTGATGTATGTACACCAACTGACTTCAAGTCTTTGATACCCATGATATTAAGGACAGTGTCAGCAATATTAAGACAACCCGAGCTACCAGCTCGATTTTCAGTAACCACCATGCTTGCAACGACGGGACACTTCTGATTGAGAAAGCCATCAAGTTCGTGAAGACAGGATGCGATTCTCTGCTGAAGAGTCCCCCCCATCATGACATGTTCGTCATTATTCTGCATGTCTACAACGATACCAACATCCCCGATTGCTCCCCACTGAATTGCAAGTGCTGGAAGGCTCTCACTAGCTCGTTTTTCGCAGATCCTTTCCATGATTGCATTTGACATTCCATAGTTTGCAAGACCTGCATTTCCACGGCCACAGGAAACTGAGGAAAAGACAACGAAATGGCGAAGTTTTGGGCACATTCTTCTTGATAATTTGTCAAGATTTTTTGTACTCCAAGCTTTGGCCTTGAAGGGCTCTTCGAATGTTTTTGGTGTTTGATTTTCGAAGAGACCATCCTTCAGAACGACTGCAAGATTGTAAATTGCATCAACCGGCGCTTGCTTCGATGCTAACGAAAGGATGTCTTCGCAATCTTTTGGATTTGATGCCTCCTTTCTCGCGATAATGGTGACCTTAACGCCGTAATTCTTCCATCGCTTGATTCTCATGCGTTGATAGCCATTCTTGATGCCTCCACGAGATGTTAGGATTATGTACTGAGCTCCACGGAGGATAAGCCAGTCTGCTAATTCCAGACCAAAACCACCGAGTCCTCCTAAAATTATGTAAGAACGGTCTGTCCGGCAGTAGTACCGTGGCAACGCTGGAATTAGAGTCCCCAGATTCGTTTCATCTTGAATTTTGAGTATTACCTAAAATTGAACAAGTGGTTGATAAGTGTCATTCATCCATGCAAGATCCTCCAGAAATCAATATATTTTTCATTTTCACCTTTCCAATGTGTTTCCCGGCAGCCATGTACTTAAAAGCAGATTCAATGTCACATCTATTAAAAATAGTGAAATTGAGTGGTTTAATAATTCTTTCATCAAGCAATCTCTGCACCAGTCTATGCAGTTTTCTCTTTTTTCCCGATGGCGCAGTTAAAAATTTGTCGAGCATTATTCCATAAAAACTGATCCCTTTCGAAAAGGTTGACATTCCTAGAATACTATTGTTAGCTATATCAAACTTTCCTATCTCCAAAAACTTTCCTCCTTCAGCTAGACATCGGACTGAAGCTTGCAACTTGTCATCGGCAAGCGAATTGAGCACAATGTCGACACCTTTACCATTCGTCTTATTCATCACCAATTGCTCAAAACTACTATCTCGAGAATTACCAATGTGATCTTCAGGAATCTGCGGGAAGGTTTTTTGAATAAAGGCTCTTTTCTCCCCAGTACCAACGGTCGTGAAAATTTCACATCCAGCTGAAAGTGCAAGATTGATAGCCGCCTGTCCGACACCACCCGATCCTGCGTGAATCAATATCTTATCTCCCTTTTTCATCTTTCCATGGAAGTAAAGAGCATAGCAACATGTAGCATAGGCACAAGGGACTGTAGCTGCCTCTTCCAAAGTCCAAGAATCGGGTACAGTCCACATAAGAGTCGAATCATAATGTAGAATGTTCGTTATAGCACAAGAACTGACCATGCCCATGACCCTGAAATCATTCGTCGTGATTCCAGCATATTCGAATCCGACCAAACACTCTGCTGCAATTCTAGTGCCATCAAAATTATCAGCAGTAAGTTTCCCAGTGGCCAGCATGATATCCTTGAAATTTATTGATGAGTAAACAACTCTAACGAGATCAGAATAGTTGGCATTCAATGTGATAGGCCCCTCCATCCAACGGAATGTGCTGAGATCGCCTCGTACGAGCTGCTTCGCCCAGACATGGTGAACAAGGCGTGGAGTCGGAGTGGGAAGAGGTAGATGTCTGTATGATCCCCAAATTCCCCCTGGTCTCAGGACATTTATTGCAAGATCTAAATTTAATTGATCCGCATACAGGGAATCTGAGAATGAGAACTTTGATGTATTCTGATCCTGGATCAATACCCCACGAATTATCTTGCCACCAGATTCCCTTCGGAGACATTTGACGAGGCCCAGTAGACCATTTTCCGACATTTTATCACTTATCAGTAGAACTCTGGAAGAACCTGAGTTTTCACGTTCAGATTCTGCTTGCAGTACTGCTTTCAAAGTATCAACCCAAGTAAACTTTCTATCGTCTACCTGGATTATCATGCCGGAATTCTGTATTTTATCAATTTTTCTAAGGACCCAGAACGTAGAGCGATCGACTACTTTTTCCGAAATGATATGAAGCCCATATTTCTTCGATGATTGCTCAATTTCCTCTAAAGATGAAGACTCGATTGTGAAGACAAAGCCGCCATCGCTCAGTGCTGGGAGAATATGAGTCAAAGTTACGGTTTTCTGAGAAGTTAGAAGATCTCGGCCAGCTAAGATCAGAGCATTAGTATCTGGAGTAAATCTTTTTGGCTCCGAGATATTTATGTTATGAGGTAGTTCTTTCGTGAAAAGATTCTGGGGCGTGGTTATATGCAGATCTGATTGAATCATTGGTAGGTCTGCTAGTATCTCTGCTATATGGTAGGACAGAAGCTCTTCAGGAGGATACATCTCTCCTATTTCCAAGGACTCTAGTACCTTCACTCTGATGCTCACTTGGTTTTCCACAGCCAGATGAGTCGCTAGGCAAACTGCTTCTTTCAAACACACTTCTGCACGATCTCTATGAGCTACGAACTGATATGTCTCCAGCACTGGCTCATTCAGTGTTCTTCTTCGAGATATTGAATGACTCTTCAGACCACGTATTTGAATTCCCCCTGAACTAATTGTGTCATGTTTCCGGTTGACAAAAACTGTGAATTCTATTGAGAAAAAAATTAGATTGTATAATTTCAAATTATTCATTAACTATTGAGTTTTGCATTGTACCTGGTTTGTCGCGTGACATTGATTGAATCTGTTGAGAATGTTCCCTAGTATCAATGACCAGTTTCTGTATCCTCGTAGCAACCACGAGACTCCTTGTATCAAGTCCTAACAGCATCATCTGTAGCATGTTGTCCATGAAAGTCACCCAGTTATTGTTCCAACGAATGGTTCCTCTGGTACCATCCAAAGTTGCACTTTTAATAGCTCGGAATAGCCCAGAGTACTGGTATCCCCGTATCCGAAGGTCTTTGTACAAGTCGTTGGTATCCAACTCTTCAGGTTCGTTTTCGTCTCGAATTGGGAATTGTATTTGTTCCAATTGGGCATCGTTCGTATGACGTACGACCCCAGTAACCACTGCTACACCATCTTCAATAATTTCGAATCTTCCGGTTCCTGCAATTACCATAAAGAAAAATCGAATATTTCGGGCAATTCATCCAACATGATTGTCATAAAATAGCGACAAATATGAAATCGAAAAGGATTTCACCTGTCTGAATCATGATGGTGATGTCCACTGGTTCTTCAGAAATCGTAGTAGCTCTCAAGAAATCAACATCCTCAAAAACAATGGACATCTCCGTAAACAATAACCCCCTCATCAAACCAACAGTTTCCCAGACAAGCGTCAAATATCCAGTGGCAGGTAAAACATTCCTCCCGTCGATGATATGTCCAGCCATGTACTCAAATTCTTCATCAGAAATGGATAATTCCACCTGTCTCTCTCCAGAAGTGGTCCGATCCTTCTGTTTGTAGCAACTGACGAACCAGTCTTCAGAGTGATCCCACTTGATAAGAGGAGATATCATAGGAGTTCCTCTGGATACTGGGAATTTCACTTCAGGATACAACTTCCAAATTTCTGGTTGCAGCCCTACGTCATATAGCTCTCCAATTGCCTGCAGGAATATTTCAGCATCGTCCTGTTGTCCGTCCTGAATAAGGGGGATAAGAGTCCATTGAGGAGGAAGAGATTCATCCAGAAGGTCTTGGAGGAAGTTATGGGGCGTAATTTCAATTATGACAGCGTCTTCAGGGATAAGCACAGACGATTCTGCAAATAGAATAGGAGAGAGGAAATTGTTTGAGTGATATTCTGCAGAAGATAGTCTGGCTGGAGAAGAGTTCCACTGTGATTCAGGTATTGATGTGCTGAACCATCTAGAACTTTTTACTTTGGGCTGTGGAATGACTTCCTTCAGGTATGCCAAAAGCTTGGGTCCAATTTCTGCCATGTATTTTCTGTTATAAACAATAGTACTGCAAGGAATTTTTTGAGTTGAAATATCGACGGCTGTCAGCCGAGCCATGAGAGCTTCTATTGACGCTGTAGGTCCACTTATTGTTGAGCTTTCAGGGCTGTTGTGCCACACGACTTCGATGTCTGGTGGACATAGATTTTCAAGCTCCTTCGAACCCAGACTAACAGTTGCCATTGAAATGTCAATTGATTCCGTTCTTAATAGAACTAGAGCTAATGAATATGCTGCTAGGATGGTTTGCTCGGCTGTAAGTGAACCATCGGCGTAGGCACAGCCCAGCTCTCCAAATGCGTGTCCAATCATACCATCTGGGAATATTCCCAAGGTTGTTAAAAGGTCTACTAGACCAATCTGCATTGCAGTTATTCCAACAAATAGACTCACGATATTGCCAGAGGTCAATCCGTCAGGATTCATCAGGATGCTGTATATGTCAATTCCTTTGGATTTAAGACTTGCATGGTATCTGTTGATGGTGTTTGCAAAGACTTGGAATCGCAAAAGAGACGGTCTCATTGTTAGCCACTGAGAGCCCACTCCTGAGAAAACAAACCACACTGGTCGCCTGATTCCTGGATAATGCTTGATCTTTTGAAGCTTCTTTCCGAGTTTGCAGCCACCGACAATGGTGTAGCCCCGATAAGGATGACGTGAGAGTTTCTCTGCGTAGAGATCGTGTAATAAGCGAATGTATTCTATGTCAACTGGACGATTTTCAACCTGAGGCCAGAAATATTGATTTTCAATAATGAAAATATTTATCATTTACATTATCACTCATAATTGTTCGAAGAAATGAATAGATCTACTTACATCTGTCAAAATAGAGCCAACAGCGTCTTCCGTCCTTCCAGATGCAACGACCAGTCTCGGAAGATCATCCTGAGGTGCACCGCCATTGATCTTCTCCTTAGAATTTGACTTAAGGACAACATGAGCATTAGCACCACCGAAACCGAATGAGCTGATGCCAACGTATCCGCCATTCCAAGGTGTTGGTTCAGTAATAACCTTCAACCTTCCATCCTGAAGAGCTTTGACACCCTCTCGTGGCTCTTTATAGTGTAAATTTGGTGGGATAGTACCACTCTCATAGGCGATAATGATCTTAGAAATTTGAGCCATACCAGCAGCTGCTTCAGCATGCCCCATGTTCGATTTTACTGCACCAATCTTCAATGGCGCCTCTTTCTCAGAGTGAAACACAGATGCAATTGCTTTTAGCTCCTCAGGATCTCCTACTTTCGTTCCAGTGCCGTGCGCTTCAAAGTAAGCTACTGAAGATGGTGGTACTTTACACTCTTTATAGATATCCTTTAACAGGAGACTTTGAATCTGACTAGATGGGAACGTGATTCCTTGCGGTTTGAAGCCATCGCAATTCGTTTTCACATGAACCACAGTCGCATAGATACGTTTTGCACCCATGGCTTTTTGGAGATAAGCAACAGCAATGGTCTCACTCCTCACGTAACCATTAGCGCCGTTATCGAAAGATTTTGAGTGACCATCAAGAGACAGGACACCTAGAAAAAGACGTGATTTCCTCGATCATCTGGTAAACTTCTTCTCCTCTGTTTATCTTTAAAAGTAATTCAATTTGAATCCACCTAAACGAGCATACTGCATTGACATGTTCGGATGAAGACAAAGATTGGAAGCACAGACGAGGGCGTTATCACACAGGCCAGTCCTTATAGCACTATATGCATGTTCCATGGCATAGAGACTCGAGCTACAGGCAGAGTCAACATTATAACTTGGTCCCTTTACCCCGAGCCATCGAGACAATCTGTTCGCCAACATAGATTTACAGGTTCCAATCATACCAAGGCCATCGCCCTATTTATCCGAATCAGATTAATTCAATCAGTAAATTTTCACAATTCAAGGCTATTATCATGAAGTGAACGATGAATTCTATTCTTTCAGTTCATGAATACGGGAAGAAAATTATTTGAACCTGATGTTTTTCATAGATCCAAGTGTACTCAGACTCTACGAAACAAGTCGCAACGAATACGCCTGTGTTGGTGTCCCTCAAATTCTCGGGATTAACCCCAGCATCAACGATAGCTTCGTAAGCGTGCTCCAGCAGCATTCTTCCTTGAGGATCCATAGTATGCGATTGCTTAAAGTCGCAATCGAAAAATTTGGCATCAAACTTTTCGGCATTATTGACTTTACCAGTTAATCTTGGAAGATCTCGTTGATCTGTGGATAGTTTATAGGAAACTGTAAATTCTTGAATGAATAAATGAGTGGAATTATTTTAATGTCTGTGCGCTGAATGAGGCAATACCTAAGTATTTGATTCATCGAATTCTGTCTATACTATGGATTCGGTATCTATATTGGATTGATCAGTAACCTACGGAATTGTATCAATTTTTCGTAATGAATTAATCTGAATCATAGCTTTTTTTCGAATGAACATGGGAAGAAGGACATTTATGAAAGTAAAATTCCATTATATTCTTACAATTAATGCAATTTTTTATGGAAATTTTACAATATTCCGAAGTTATTTGGCAATTTGATTTGAATGCTTGGTACTCATAATTTTGGGGTTGGATTTTCTTTCTTATTTTCTCCACTAAAAAATGAATGATCTAAAGATGCAGAAAACAAAAAAATTTCTGAAAAGACATTTCATGTTCTTCGAAGAAAAAATTCGCAAGAATACCATTTTCTTTTTTAATTTGCGTGGTGTTCATCCGAAGTCCAAATCTTAGAAAATGCCTTGGGACGGGGATACATAACTCCTTAAAATTCTCCAGTATGTTTGTCAAAAATTGCCCGATTTATTGTAAATACTAGAGATCCCGGGTTAGATCTCTGGCACTAACGAATTACGTTCAGAATTTTTTGATTTCGTCAAATAATATAAGGACACTATTAAAAATGTGGGAAATCAAAGTTTCAAATACTGAGAGTAATAGAGTTAAGCATATTGGAATCATGTACACACATCCTACAGTTTCACATATCTTGAGAACCTAACTGACTATAATTAATCATCACCATGGGTAATTACATTCTGATCATTGCCTTGAAATACTGTCATAATATCGTAGCCTATAAGTTATACAGAAAATAGTTGTAAGCTTCGAAAACGAGAAAGAGTCCACAGCCATCACTAATGATGAATATTCAAATAACCGTCAGTAACTTACACAGTACCCAACGACGATCATCATCTGTTATCAAATCAACTTTGTTCATGAGATTATCACGGAACTGAATGAAATTATTAGACTCTGGAAATCTGCCAGAAATCCCAGATATAACAATTTCATCACTAGTATTCATGGCTGCCTTCATCAATGGCATTGACTCTTGGAAAATGTATACACTTCAATTTTATTCTTGTGTTACTAGACGAATTTATTTACTAATGAACTTGATTTTGAATTCTCAAGATACAAATGAGTTAGGAATTCACATCGCCGTGCACTACACTCCCAAAATGGTTTGCGCTGCTCTTACCTTTTTATAATTCGCCTCCTTCCCACGTTTCCGAATTTACCATGCGAAAGAAACGATTTAATTACCCTTCCGGGTTAATTCAATACTATTAACTTTTCTTTTGATGATTGCGTTAATCAAATTCACATACTAGATAATGATTTCCGTTCGGTACGATTTTACCATTTTAGCTTTTTCTTTATAATTCCCCTCTCCCTACTCTCCTGGATTGCCCATGCGAATTAAGACGATTCCATTACTTTCCTCGGTTAACTCACCTACATTATGCAATTCTTTGACAATAGTATTAATTAAACTCACAAAGTACATGATGAATTGATTGAATAGCATTAAGTAAACTCACAAAGTAGACAATGGATTTTGGTTGCAGGTTAGGGTCTATTCGATCCCACCAAATGCTCATTCGTTAATAGTTAACGAATGTATATTTGAGGAGGCTTCCTTTCGCCATTCAAGTGAACCATTCGTTAACTATTAACGAATATTCATTTGCTCATATTCAACTCTACCATTCGTTAATAGTTAACGAATCTCGTTTGGAATAAATGAATCATTCTATCAGTGTAATATTAAAGGTTTGTCTTCCTCATGGGCGCGATCCATCGAGTGATTTCGCAGATATTCAACTTTTTGTAATAAACGATTCCATCAAAAAGTTTAATATTTTCCTGTAGACACTCTGCAGCATATGGGTGCTCGTCACAGGGATAGAGCGTATTATATTTGTTGAAAAACTTTGAAATTTCCCTGAAAAAGCGTAGTTTTTCAATCGTTAGGCAGTATTTTTGTGTGGCATTGTGAATATTCAGTATGAGCGGGATTAATATTTTCGTTTGTAGAGTAGTAATCTGCAACATAGATTACTACTTATGGAAAAATAAAAATGAAATCAAAGGAAATAATTGAATCAGAGTATAACAAAATTTGTATTTATAAGAAAAAGTTTTAATAAAATGATTTTATATGTGAGTTGAGAGTGGAATTTGATGATTTCTAATTGCATTTGATAAAAAAAATCATTGAGATTCAGGGAAATTTTTTTTTGATGAATTCTGCTCAATTAAAATCGTCATCACCACAAATTTCTTTTTGAACCAGTTAATAATAATCTGAGAAAAAAATTCTAAAAATATTTATTAAAATTATTTATTCTTAGAAAATTTCCGACGTCTTTCAGATCACTTTGATAATGGAGAAAATTATGTCTAAATCATTTTTAAATGAATAATTACACCGGATCATCGAACAAAACGGATGGATGGATGTAAAATTCCCCTGAATTGTGATTTGATTTGATTTTTAATTTCAGTATGGTAATTTGAAATGGAAAAAAAATATGTTCACAGCAGACATAATATTCGGAAACTCCCGTATGAGATATTTGTGGACTGGAAAAGAAATATTTTCATTCAGACGATTTACGAACTTTGAATAATGAGTTATCTATCAATAGATTCCGAAAATAATGGTACGGGTGGCTAATATACCCCCATACAATAATGTCCATGCGCTATTAGGCAGTAAGAATAAAGACAGAGAAGCGATCTATAAAATAAAAGCATTTCTATAAAATGGATATCAATATTCCTTAGTATCTAAGATTTCAGAATGGTTTATTTCATTTATATGCCTATCACAGGAACTGGAAATTGCCACGGATCCATTCGGAAGCTTATTACCAATGGAATTGGTATAAAAAAAAAGAATATTAACGCAAAAAGAAACAGCCATACGTTTTCTGCGAAGTAGGCCCGAACCCCTGCTTGTTTTATTATGCTTCCTTTCTCAATCCCGAATGGGTCTCTTTGCGTACAACGCCCAATAATTATTGTGATATCTCAATTTTTTGGGGATAAATATTGTTACGTATTTGCGCTTTTCGCCCGTCTCAACCAACTTTATGTACGATCGTCCCTTTCTTTTTCGATATGCTTTCATCTTCGTTTCTAGTCCGCGGACGCGTAATTTCTTTTTGTATCTCTTTTTTTCCCCAAAATCTTTAATTAACAGCTATTTATTTAGTAAATGTACCCATTCCTTACAAAATTATTTGATCCGTGTCTTTCTCACTCTCAGTATAAATAATGTTCTTCTTGTTATTTTTTTGTGATTTGAGGGTATCTTTTCTGTGTAAAATTTAGAGCCAATATAGACGTCTACATTTCAGCATGAAACATTGGTTGTTCGTACATTTCTTGTCGGAGAAGAGCCCCAATGCCCTGTTTCCACTTCAAACTACCCCTCTCTCCACAACTGACCCCCTGAGCAGCGCGAGCATCCTGTCATCTTTCCTTGGCCCTTTAGTTTCAAGTTTTTCTGTTTCTTGTGACTTTTGATTTTCGTCGTATTTTCCACCTCGAAACATTTTCGGTTTGTTGTTTCCGTCGAAACAAAAAAAAACAACTGGCGCCCAATCATCGAGTTTTTTTTCAGTTTCTGACATCACCAAGGGAAAAGGGCGAGTTAACATTCATTTTTATCCCCAGTTAAAATTAAACACGGTTATAGTTTATTAACTTTCCTTTAGTATTGGGAGTACTGATGTTTTATTCCTCTTATGATTCAATTGATTAAAATTCAATTAATTAGATTAAGCGGATTACACTTTTTTTTTCTTTCGATTGAAACTCAGTATTAGGGCAGGGTGGGGCAAAACGGCCCCCCTTCAATTGTCAATAACTTGTGAATGACATTGTGAAAATTCCCAGTTTCAACTTCATTTTGAAGATAATTTTTCATTCTTCAAAACGAGCTCTAACTCATCCCAATCGGATTATTGAATCGGAAAATATTGACGATTGAAGGGGGGCCGTTTTGCCCCATCCTCCCCTATATTTTCCTTTTGCCCAATCTGAGTCTCCCCCTGGGCCTTTCTCTGGGCTTCGGATTTTGTTGTTTCATTTTCTTTTCAACTAATACATTGACACAATTTTCTCCCGCCAAAACATTGCAATAATTTTCCATTCTACTGAATGGAAAATTATTATTCTAATCAGTACTTCCAATAATACAAAAAAGTTGATGAACAAAAATTGATAAAAAAATTTTTTTGCTTGAATTGCGTCAAACAGTCGTATTTTCGACTGTTTCATTTTGCCCCACTCTCCCCCACATAAGGAAAAGAAGAAATCTATAATCGGGACAATAAATCAAGATGACATGTTAGCTATCGACAAATTTAGCGAATTAAAAATTGATTCCTCATCCTCGAAGAGTCGACATTCGAGCGGCGCGAAATCCATTTCTAATTCACTACATTTGTCGATAGTTTACATGTCTATTTGATTTACTGTCACGATTATAGATCTGTTTTTTTTCCTTATCTATATCAATTTAATTTCCTACAATGAAAACGGATTGTGACAGAAAAACCGGGACGTTTTTGTTGCAACCCGCTCAACGGGTTACACCCACACACAGAACACGCTGTGCAGACTATCCGCATAAATGTGCAGATAATCTGCATAGTTATGCGGGATTCACACATAAGCCGAAGTCACTCTCTTATGTGCAAATCATGCATAAATAGTGCGTGAATCATGCGTAGTTATGCAGATTATTCGCATAGCTATGCATGAAATACACAATTTTTATGCGGATTATCTGCACATCTATGCGTACTTTCCGCACAGATTTGGCATGATTTACACATAAGGGCAAAATTTTGATGAGGATACGTCTATGTTTTCGTTATGAGGAGTCGTTTTATGAAATTGAGCTTACAGGTCTAGATCTTTCTAGAAAATTCAAGGGACTTCAGGGAGTTTCTAGAAAGTTTGAAAGAATTCAAGGAGTTTCTAGAAAATTCTAAAATGTTCAAGAAATTTTTAGAAATTTCAAGAAATTGCATGGAGTTTTTAGAAATTTCGAGAAAATTCAAGGAGTTTCTAGAAAATTCTAAAATGTTCAAGAAATTTTTAGAAATTTCAAGAAATTGCATGGAGTTTTTAGAAATTTCGAGAAAATTCAAGGAGTTTCTAGAAAATTCTAAAATGTTCAAGAAATTTTTAGAAATTTCAAGAAATTGCATGGAGTTTTTAGAAATTTCGAGAAAATTCAAGGAGTTTCTAGAAAATTCTAAAATGTTCAAGAAATTTTTAGAAATTTCAAGAAATTGCATGGAGTTTTTAGAAATTTCGAGAAAATTTAAGGAGTTTCTAGAAAATTCAAGGAAATGCAAGAAGATTCTAGAAATTTCAAGAAAAATCAGGGAGTTTCTGGAAATTTTAAGTGAATTCAAGAAGTTTCTAGCAACTCTGAAGAAATTCCCGGAATTGCTAAAAAATTGAATAAAATTCTTAGGCGTTCTGGAAATTTGAATAAAATTTGAGTTTCCCAAAATAATCGAGGAATTTCTAAAGTTTTAAACAACATTCAGAAAAAAAATTTTTAAGGGGAGACCGCGGTGAAATTTGAAAGTCTCGACTCGGCCTCAACAGCCATTGGATGACTTTTGATATATGAAGGGATATATAAAAAAGTGAGAAAAATTTCGGACTCGAACCGTTTTGCCCCGTGTATTTACCAAAAACGTCATTTTTCACGTTTTTAGCTTAAAAAGGCTCGGACCACAGTTTTCATCCGATTACAACTTTTTTTTTTTTTTAATGTTTGTTATACTCCAACGAAAAAGTATCCGTTTTACTTTATATTTATTAGATGATGAGAAAATGTTTTTTTTTTACTTTTTATTTTTTTTCCTCTTTTTAGCAAATGCTTAAATTCGTTGTTTTCCCCCATTGTTTTTGTTATAATATTTCGATTACGTATGATCACAACGTGGAATAACGAAAAACAACTAGTTTTAGCATTTGCTAAAAAGAGGAAAAAAAATA